TAAAAATCTAATTGCTATTACTATACCAATTTTCCATAAAAAGTAACGATGTTATGAATGAGTCCCAATTAACAATCTCTTTACAGTCAATACATATTGTCGTCTCCCTTGGTAGCAAAATTATCGAGGAAGGAAATATTGCAATAATGTCTGGGGGAAGGGGAAGGCAGATATATGAACTGCACACTGGAAGCAAAGAAGGTCTGTTGCCAAGGATGATCACTAATTCATTCAAAAGAATTACAAGTGTTTACATTTCTTTCCACACTGTCATAAATCAGAGGCCAGCTATCTTCAGTGGCTACATGACTTGAAACATAAAGAATCTCCTCTGTGTCTCAAAAAGTGATTATCTTATTGTAAAGGATTCATCCTCAGATGCCCAACACTGCTTTAGTCTTCACACATAAAGCCATTTCTGGCAAACTACAGTGCCGTTTACTGTAGGTGCATGTCCACAACCTGCAGGAAATTTTTACTATCTTTGAAGCCACGTAGTGGTAAAGCTCACAGGCTTTGTTAGTTTGTGTAGCTTTACTAACACAACGGGCTATACTGAGTTGCACCAGCTGAGGAGCTGGCTCGTAAGATTAGGACCAAAAAGAGGGTTTTATTTTTATGCCCTAGCACCAGGAGACATTTAAGAGTGACAGCTGTTCCACTTACTGTTCACAGATATAGATTTGTGAATTTCTACAAATTTGCATAATGTGGGTTGCCTCATACTATAAACGTTTCAAAATGATCTGCACAACAAAATCTTGCTTTCATTTGCTTGTTTTTTTCTGATTTTATTACAGCATCTATTTTCATGTATTAATATACCACCAGTAAAACTTGCATTACTTACCTGTAGTCTAAATGATGAACAGAAAGAATAACACCTGAATTTAAGTGAGCTTGTTTTAAGGTCACCAAAACTGTGAATTCATATTTATTTCTTAACTTCTGAAAAAAGACTTCAGCTGTCTCTGGGGATGCTTTAACACTTCTGGAAGTATCTAAAGGAAAAAAGAAATAAAAAAAATGCTCAGGAAGGCATCTTTTCTATGGCACCTTAAATCCAGATGATATACAAAACCATGAATTACATTGTCATAGCACAGCAGATGTATCAGCCAAAGCTGCCACAAAGTCTAAGTACAGATGTTCAAAGCCCCAAGTTCTAAGTATTGTGCTTTACTCAAAGCGCTCCAGATAAGGCTTGGACAGAGCAGAACACACATGCGCTCTGGTGTGGTGGGCCTGGAGCCCGCCTGCACTGGCCAAAGCCAGCAGGTTGGGGGTGCTTCTTCATGCCTCCCAGCATGCCCCACAGGCTCCCCACACCTCCCAGCATACCTCACAAGCTCCCTGCAGAAAGCCAGCAGCAGCTCCGGTCCCTGCCCTCCCCACACCATGGCCCCAGTCAGGCCCAGGCCAGAGATATGCACACTTATACATGCACATCCCTATGACCCTCCCCCACACAGCCCTCCCCCAAAGACCTGCTCCCTGCAGAGAGCCAGAGGCAGCTACAGAACTGGCATCAGCTCCAACCCCAGCCCAGGGCCAGGACACACACACACACACACCCCTCTCTCTCTCCCCCTGTCACACACCTCTCTCCCCCCAACACACACACCTCACTCACAACCTTATCCTCAAAGCCTCACTCCCTGCAAAGCCAGCAGCAGCAGCACCCCACCCCATACAAACATAGCCACCATTCACTTGCTCTGTCTGTCCTGCTGCCACCATCTGCCAAGGGGCCTGATCATTCCATCTGTTCAGTACCCCTCACCTGCCTAGGGACATTGTATAATGATATAAAAATACAAAGATATCACCTGTGGCTGACAGCTTGGAGCTGCATGCCACTTTTTGCCAGGAACTGTGGCAGGGGCAGGGAAGGTGGGAGAAGGAGCCCATCTGCTGCACAGACCCAGCCCAGCCTCCACCAAGACCTGAGCCAGAAAGCTGTGGGGAAGCCCATGTGTCAGAAGGGTTCCTTTCCCTCCCCAGGGAGAAGACAATGCCTTTTATAACTCCTTTCTGTGACAGCCCAGGGGTGGGGCTGGGCCAGGCTAGTGCTCACCCACAGCAGATGAATTACTGTGAATTGCAGGACACATTGATCATAGACACTTCAAACGCACTTGCAGCCCCGGGGTGAATCTGGATTTGTGTCCAGGCTCCTGGAACTGTCGCCCAACTTGGCCCTCCGGATCGGTCCCTTTCAGGACCTCCGGGTTGACATGGCCTCACGGAGGGCTGCCCAGGCCCCTACTGCCCCAGCTGGGGTCAGCCACTGCCCAGTTCCACTTGGAGGGGTCACTGGGCTCTGACCCCAGGGCCCCACATACCTGCCAGGACCCTTCAGAGGATGGCAGGAGAATGTGACCTACCTTGACTTAGGATGGGATGTGGTACAGATGTTCAATAAAGCACTGACTTAAAGCACTTTATCTGATACCACATGCATTGAGGATTAACTTAGAGTGTGATATGTACTCTATGTGGCATAAATGTTTAACTGAACAGACATTCATAGGACACACAGTTGTAAAGTATTTTCTGCGTGCTTAACGTGAAATAAGTGTAATTTCTGTACAAGCCCCGTAGTATGTTCAACAGTCACTTACAAAGTCGCGTACACTCTACTTTTTAAACGACAGAATATTTTCTAAGAGACCAGTACTATGCCTAGGACCTGGTTTAAATTGCATTTTTCCTGAAAATCATGAAATTAAGTGATTTTCATGAAAAATGCAACTTGCAATTAAATGCCACGATATGGCCACTTGCTCGGGAGTTCCAAAGCAAGCGGCCATATCATGGCATTTCACCTGAAGCAAGCCTGGCTCCCCAGGTGGGGGCTGTGATGGGGCTGGCCCCGCCCAGGAGCACATGGCCAAGGGCCAGGTTTAATTGTAGGCATAGGCCTTGCTCCCTAGGCCTCTGATCACTGCTGAAAAGCTCACGCCCCCTCCCCGCCCAGCTCTGCCTCACTGAAGGAGGCAGCATTTGCCCCACATTGTTTCTGATAGCCAAGGAGGGAACTGCCTTTTAAAAAATGCCACTCTGCCCTGCCCGGCTGCAAGCTAATCGGCAGCAAGTCTGACACTGAGTTGCATCAGCCAATAAGCAGTGATGACAATGAGCTCAGTGCATTTTTGAGAAGGGAATTTCCTCCCTGCCTATCAGAGACAACATGGGGCAGATGGCTACTACTGCTCTTCCTGCCTCTTCCAGTGAGGTGGGGAGAGGGGTGGGCCATGGGCTTTTCAGCAGCAATCAGAAGCCTTGGGAGCAAGGCTTCTGCTGCTGCAATTAAACCTGGCCCTAAACCTGCCACTTCAGTTAATCGGGGGATGGGCATTCTTTGAGAATGAAAACAACAGCCCCCACCACAATTGGGCCATGATATTAGCAAGTTGGGCCTGCGATTTAAACCAGGCCCTACATCCTTTTCATTTAAGAAATTGTCACTGGCCCTTTTACTTTCTCCCTTCTATCTATCCCTCCCAGACCCAAGACATTCAGAGGTGAAGATAAATGAAAATTAGTGGATGAGGAACATAGAAAGTTAACCAAAATAAATTAAACCTCAAAATATTCCCAAGTTTTTAGTGAACACTTGTGAAGAAATGGCAGGGCTGCTGCCAGAGGTGTACAGATAGATACCTTTAATGAACAATTCATCTAAAGTATGGCATCTCTCCTGCATTTTATTGAACAGAATCAGCAACACATCTGAGCCAAGGGTGCGGTGTGGAATCCAAACCTTGATTTTATGTCATCCACACAAATGCATATTTCTAATATCTAATAATAATAAATACGAAATTTAAAACAAAGGTTGACAAGGCTTACTCTGTTTAAAATGTTTGCTATAAATCTTTAAAAAAAACCCTTTCAAATTATAAAGATTATAACATTAGTCTCTGTATACTCCCATGATGTACATTTTTTACAGTATGCATGCAAGTTACTTATCACAAACTAAATGTAAAGATGAATATTTTAAGAGCCTGCACACAAAAAAGTAAAGCTTGCAGTAGTTCTTCTGTAGACTTTGTAGGCAAGGTTAGCAGAACACAAAAGGCCCAACCCTGAGCTTTGCAAAGGGAGTATATACAAAATAAGATGTTACATGACTGAAAACTATTTTCAGTTTCTCATGCTACTTTATATATGGAAAATATTTTATGTATTATTTTAATCCATAAAGTCAATTCATTAGAGTATGTATTCAACTGTGTAAAATCTAAATCAATTCATAAGTGTGGTGGACTTACCAATTCAGCCTGGCTCAAACGGGCTCAGGAAATCTTCATTTTGATTGGTGGAACCTGTCCACCAATCAGGTAAGGGCTGGGCAGGGCCGGCCCTGCCTCTTGCACGAGGGGCAGAGGGGTAGCAAAGAGCCTCCCTGACCCGACTGAAGTCTGCATTCTGCAGGTCCAACAAGACTTCGGACGCAGAGCCTCTGGAGTGAATAAAAGAAGCTGCGTGCTCAGCACATGGCAGACGCATCGAGAGACAGAGAAGAGGACAGGCTAAGATGAGCTGGTGTGAGCTCACCAGTGGGTAGAACCAGCACCCTGAAGAGCCTGAAGACGCCTTCTCGTGAGCAGCAGTGGCGAGTGGCTGCATCATCAGCTTCCCCACGGGGAACGCAGTATTGGTGCATAGATTTGGTGCATGGAGCACAGACCCTGGGAGCCATTCAAGACGTCTCAGGTCTGCCACCCCTGGCATGAAGCCGGTGCACAGGCCAGTGCATGGAGCCCAGAACTTGGGAGCTGCACAAGGCAGCTCGGGTCAGCAACCCCCAGCAAGCATTTGGTCCTTGGTGCACACAGCAGTTCCCAAAGCTCAGACCTTGGGAGCTGCTCACCATGGGTCTCTTGGACCTCGGTGCACAAAGCAATGTACAGAGCTTGAGACCCTGGGAGCAGCTGGAGGCGGCTCAGGTCTGCGATCCCTGGCAAGTGGCCAGGGAATTCGGTGCAGGCGACACTGCACAGAGCATCTGGGAGTGGATTGAGCCATGGTGCCGCAAGAGATGGTCTGGGTCTCCAACCCCCAGCAGAAGCCAGAGCCTTCAGTACACACGACAGTGAACAGGACCACTGACAGGCAGCAGCCTGAGGGGAGCCAGTGGGCTAAGAGGCCATGCCTGTGAGGAGCAAGTCAGCCAGGTGTGGCCTTATCCAGGCCCTGGAGTTGTGAGTTGTTGGGGAAGGGATTTCCACAGGGGAGGGGAACTAGCCTGCCTGTGGGCCAGTTTATCCTCAGGAAAGTTTGAGCTAATTGGTTGCTAAGGCGCCTTATATTTTGTGAGACATTTTGACTTTAACTTTTAATTGCTGGGACCTCCTTCCCTGATGGTTACATATACTTATACATGTATATTTGTGTTTTGACTGTTGTTTCATTGTATTTATATGGCTCACCTGTTTTTACCTGTTGATTGTCTATTTTAAATCCACAGTTTATCAACATATTGTTTGGGGCTATCTGAAGGGGTGTAATCTTTCAGCCTTTATCTATAAGGCATAGCATTATATGGGGGGGATGTAATAGCCATTCTCTTAATTTTTGTAAATATTAATAAAGCTGTATATAGTTAAGTATCTCTTGTCCTAGACTGACTCTATAGGGAAGAGAGAGATCTGGCCTGCATATTGCAGATTCCTCTCGCAGCTCTCCTCCTTTCCACCCATCCCTTCTATCTGGAGAAGGGAGCACAGTACTTGGGTGCACTCAGGTTACATAAGCTTCTTGTCCTTGCAATCTGATCATCCAACAATAAACTAGTGACATCAGCAGCAGAGAACCACCTGCAATAGAAATGCTGACTCTTAGTTGGTGGTACTGTAACATGAGCTCTCAATAAACTTTCTCTATTATTTTGGAAACATGTTTTTTTATAATTTCAGAGGTGCCTATATAATTGCTCCCCTGCATCCCTAAACAAACAAACAAAACAGGTTTGCTGCTTTAAAGACACATA